CCCTCAGCCCTTACATCTCTCCCCTCAGGAAAGACAGAGCTGTAGGCACAGATTGGAGCTGCTCTCCTACCGTGAATGAAGAACAGTCAGTGCTGTGACCAAGGACTGGCGTGAGTGTCAACAGTTCCAATCTCCTTCCAGAGAACCTGCTATGAGAGCTGTAGTCAGTGGGCAGCCTGCAGAGGCTGTCACCCACTCCAGCATCCACCTTGAGGCCACAATCTCTCTGGGTAGCTCCCAGGCTAGGACTGAACACAGCAGGTGCACCAGAGTTGGATTCTGGATCCTATCTGGTGTACATTTGTGGGAAATTTTTTTCTCTGGAGTTCATGCTTGTCTAGCCAAGACCCCATGAGGGCTTTATTTACAACCCAAACACTTTCCATCTCCCCTTTTCTCCTTCCTGCTTTTGTCACAGGTGTCAAGTCTATACCATTCTTTCAGGCGCTACCCAGTTGCTCCTGGCTATAGTTTAAATACAGTCTGGCTCCAGAAATCATACAGGTCCTGAATATTTCTTTGTAGCAATGAAACACTGACTAATGAAACCTTATTTCCTATCCTCTCGTGCTTTGTAGGTTTCTCTTTCAGTGAATTTTTTGGCCTCTGAATTCTATCTCAGCATCTGCTCCCCAGAGAATTCAAGCTGACAGAATGAGTTTGACAGAGAGTAGCTTGTTGTATTTTTTCCTCCTTTCATTTTTTTTGTAAAGGGTTGACTGAATAGATGGAAAGAGTTAGGCTAAACATTCTAAGAGCCAACTTCAAAATTCTAAGGTTACAGGGGAGGCCCAGTGTTTTGGCCTAGAGAGTAAACCCATCGCCTGTGATGTTGATATCCCGTAAGGATGCTGGTTCCCATCCCAGCTGTTCCACTTTCAATCCAGCTCTTTGGTAAGGACTCAGGTAAGCAAGACAAGATGGCCCAGGTGCCTTACTATGGAAGACTCGGAAGAAGCTCCAGGCACCTGGCTTTGGATCAGCCCAGCTCTGGCCATTGCAGCCACTTAGGAAATGAACCAGCAGATGAAAAAAATCTCCTTTCCTTGCCCCGTCTGTCTCTGTAGCTCTGTCTTTTGAAGAAGTAAACAAGTCTTCTTTAAACAAACTTCGAAGGTGTTTCTTTTTTTTTTCCCCTAAATAAGCAGGGAGGAACAATTAGATAATGACTGACTTTTCTTTCTTTGTAATTGATGCCTGTTCTTAGTGGTACATTGAACCATATGCTTGGACTCGCGTCTATATTACTCATACATTAGTCACACGGTTAAACTGATCACTACTTTCCAAAGGAAACATCTTTAATTAAGCCTAAAGGCAGAGTGTAAAGAAAACACGAAAATGCAAACGCATGAATTTTTCTCATTCTAGAAAGCAGTGATAATGTGTAGTGCTTAAGATGTTTTCTTTTGGGGCGCTGTGCAATGGCTCAATTGGCTAATTTTCCCCTTGCAAAGTGCCAGGATCCCAATGGTCATTGGTTCATCCAAGTCCCTGCTGATTTCCTGGGAAAGCAGCAGAGGATGCTCAAATGCTTGGACCCCTGTACCCACTTGGGGGACCTGGAAGAAGCTCCTGGCTCCTGGATTTAGAAAGACTGAGCTCCAATTGTTGCAGCCACTTAGGGACTGAACCAGAGGATGAAAGATATTTGTCTCAATTTCTCTCTGTAAATCTGCCTTTCCAATACAAAACAAGTAAAGCCTTTTTTTTTTTTAAGAAGAAAAAAGATATTTTCCTTTACAAAACCATTGTGTATTGCCTGTGTTCTAGGTATGTTAAAACTCAAGACGTTAAGTTTCACTAATTTCTATTTTCGTATTTTATCAAATGATGTTTGATTCCTCATTAAAGCTGAGACTTGATACTACAAGTAGATAAACTTTCATGCTGCTGATACAAAACTTGTCTTCGACACCAAATTGTGTTATGGAAGCAAGCAAGTTTACCAGATAGTAACAAGAATGCTATAAAAGCTCAATGTGTAAGCTATATGTATGAATTCAGCAAACTTGTGGTGTTAAATAACATGGCACACTCTATTCAGAAGCGGGTATGTTTCACTAAAGGAAAACCTGTTTTCAATTCTGCCGTTTCCATGGATTTGTGATCCTATTAGGGCCTGAAAAGAAAATCCAATCTTTGTCCAAATTCCACTTATGCTTTGCATCGATAATATGCCCTTTTATCCCCGCTTATGCACTTGGAGACAGAAAAGCAACCCAAATTAGTAAAAAAGAAAAACACATTCATTAGAACTCTAACAACACGACCCTGTGGAGGGCAGATGTGTGGGAGCTGACATATAGCTTACTTCATCTTTACACTGGAGAGAGAGGCTTTTCATCTTAGCTACGCATTAGCATGATGTAGAGAATTTTCCAAATGCTTGACACCCAGGGTCCTGCTCCAGACCAATTAAATCAGAATTACTTTTTTTTTTTAATTAAATCTCCACAGGTGATTGAAAAAAAAAATGCTGCCAAGATTTGAGAGCTATCACCTTGACTATAATAGTTATTTCTGGCTACAGTATATTAAATCTCTACTTCTGGATGGAATCCTATTTGCCATGTGACCCTTACTTTTTCCTGGATACTGGAGAGAGACTGAAATTCAGATGCCTAGTGACATTCAGTCTGGTGATCTTTCAATTCGGAATGTGGTTGTGTAATCTAGCTCCAGGCACTAACAGAGAGAGGAGATCCTACAGGGTGGAGAAAGTGGATCCCGTCCTTTCCATCAAGTTCCTTGTACTCACTGAGGGATGAATGGAAGGATTCTGCTTTATAGCCCCAAAGCAGTGAGGGTGAGAATGAGAAGCAAACATGAGAAGGATGATTGTGGAACAAAGAGAGTGAAAGACTTGGGACTTTGAAGACCCTGTTGAGTCAGCGAATGAAAGCAAGCAAGCAAGCAATTGCTGTCCTAGTTTTTTGCTGCATAAAGAAAATTAGTGTTTCAGTCACAAGTAGCTAAACTTTTCATTCCTTGCATCAAAAAGTATGCCTAATGGTGACACTTGCATTTTCTCCTAAGAGATGAAGCATTCAATGGTTAAGAACTTTACAGAAAAATCCCTTCTACATCAAACAGCGTCCTAGAAATATTTTATTCCGTTGACTGAAGTGAAGACTGAGGCTCATAAAAGGTAACTTTTGTCCATGGCCATCCAGAATTTGAATTTTAAGGCAGATTCATTGGACTGTAACGCCCACACACTAACTTGCCTTATTATGGCATTATTATTGAGAGTTTGTATGTGTGCCAGGGACTCTGATTACACTCTAGTGTGCAAGAAGAATGTCTCATGCTCCCCGCGATGACTTGCAGTTTGATGAGACACTTGAAGCATTCATGAACTTGCTGCGTAAGAAACCAAACTACAAGATTAAGTTTTTGTGTGTGTGCTGTGCTGAAACAATACAGGGAACTTTCAACGCCAACTAGTTAAAACACGCAAATCCATCCACTTTTTGACAGCGCCAACGTCTTAAGAAAGATCGCAGGTATAATCTACGTCTTTGGAGTATCACTCCACTTTCTTTGCTCCCTTATGAAGTCATATGAGCTGGGAAGCTTGTGCTGCACGTGTCTAAGTGAATGTGTCAGGGAGAATATGGCATGTTGCTGTCTGAGGAGTTGATAAGATAAATGTTTCCTTTCCCAGGACTTTGTGTGGCAGAGTTCTGCGTTCTCTCTCTCTCTCTCTCTCTCTCTCTCTCTCTCTCTCTCTGTCTCACTAGTATTTACTTGTTAGGTGATAGGTTAACAGTCCTAGCACACAAGTCTTTATGGAATACCTCTGAGTAATAAGGTTATTCTCCAGGAAGCAAGCATTGCCAGATTCCTCCCGAGGTATAGGATGGAGAGAATGACCAGTCTTCAGCCTTTGCCCCCTCTCATCCCAGACAGGAAACAGAATAAGCAGGAGGCTGATAAAGTTTGAAATTTGGCACCCCTGGAATCAAGCCCCGGTTCTTCAACTTCTCAGAGGTAGGGCCTGAACACTTTCCAATTGATCTGCCCAAGCCATTATTTATTTCTTTCACTATTATTATTTCTCATGATACAGTTGTGTAGGTATAAGGATTCTCTACTCCCCATTTTCCATTCCCAGCTTTCTTCCCCGCCCCCCTTATTATCACAATCCTAGGATCCTTTAGTGTCAGTTTCAAGTCAACACTCTGCTATTCACGTGATCATGGCATTGGGATATAAGCCAAGGTAGAGAATCCAGCATCACACTGCCAAGCTACCTTTAACTGTCTCACTGGAGTCTTCGTTTTATCTGGGAGTGGAGATCCTTGCCCTTATTTCGAGAGAGGGTGTTAGGAGATTTAATCACAGCTCCAGACGAAAACATTCACAGGGGACCCAAAGCTCAACAGCAGGTGTCTTTATTAACGACAGATGAGACACCAGGAAGACCACAGGTAACGCCTAGACCTGCCATTTGCACTTAAACAGCAAAATATGAAAGTGCAACTGTTTCTAGAGGACTACACTACTGTGAGACTATAGGGGTGAGAGGGGAGGAAGAGGAAGGGGAGGAGAGAATCCCTCTGCCTACAAAACTGAATCACGCGGAAAACAATAATCATGAAAAAAGAAAAAAAGGCAGAAACAACCTGGGGAAAAGACAAGAATTCTGCCCAAAGCCTCTCAGGCTTGTTGGACACGACCAAGTTTACGGTGTCAGCTTTGCATCATTTACAAACAGGACTAGTGTCCTAACTGTATTTCTTTCGAAGTGGAAAATGGGCTCAGCGTACTATGCAGAAAACAGACATGAAGCGCTTCTCGGCGGGCTTTTTAAAGCTCCTTCCTGGCGCGGCCAGCTTGGCACGTGACGTCATGATCTCTATTTGATGCGACAATCGAGCAGCGGGCGCCGGCGTTTACACGTCACTTTTAGGCGCCCACGCCGGCGCGCGGCGCAGCCTTGTGGCGTCACGGCAGCGGACCAATACGGATCACCGGGAGGCGGGACTCGTGCGAGGCGGAAGCGGAAGCGACGGCGCGGTCGGGGCAGGTCCGTGCCTGGCACCCCACGTGTGAGGTGAGAATCGCGGACTCTAAGGTGGCGTGTTCGGGGTTGCGTTCCCCGCTGTGGCGAGGTCGGGAGGGTCCCTCGGAGGGAAGAAGTGTCGCTGAGAGGGCGCCCCGTGTTGACTTCTCGTGTGGAGGAGGCGTGGGTCCCGGACCAGCTGTAGGAGATGAGTGTGTAACGAGGAAGGAATTATGGACGGTGTCTGTCTGAAGGGAGTGCAGACAGAATTCGGACGATTCGTAGAGTTGTCGTTTTCCAACGTGGGGAGCGTACTTCCAGAGGTGGTAGCCCGGAGGGGGTGAACAGAAACGGGAGGAGAAATACCAGCAGTGGGCAGCCGGCTAACGCGGGGGAGAAAGGAGTTCGCCTCTAGGTCACTCGTCATTATCTCTGGCAGTATAAATGCTCCTGAAATATTTGTTGCATTCTTTAGGGGTTACTGACGGGCACACACACAAACGTGTTTTTTGACACACAGCTGGTTGAATGCGTGGATGTGGAACTCAGCAGAGAGGGACTATTTTGCCTTAGTTACAACACTGGGTTCTATTGTGTTGTAGTTTTTTGTGTGTTAACGCTACACCTTTAATTTTTTTTTAAAATGTTTTCTTCAGTCTGGAGAAGAGAGTTGCCATAAATGATGTCAGCTCTATAGTGGAAATGATAAGGCTGGGAGAATCATGGGGGAAGTGGAAGCACCTGGAGGATGAATTATAGAGGAGTTTTATTTAAATTCGTAGGATGAGCAGAAATTTGGTGGGATAAGGCCAGCTTTAAAGTTTGCAATCTGAAGGGGAAGTGTGAGGTGGGTATGTTGGTACCGGATTGAGAGGGACGGGAAAGGCCAGTCAGACTGAAGTCTTTCCTGTACTCAGTGAGCAGTGAAGCGGTCGAAGTGTGTCCATGGGATGCAGCAGGGCTGACAGGAAAGTGGATCAGGCAGCAGGTTGAATCTGAGGCTAAAGCGGTGGGAGTTAGATGTCGCGAGAGCCCGAGTGGGTGATGGAGGGCAGGGGGACGGGATGGGCAGTCCAGAGAGGATCTGTGCCATGGTGATGTACTTAAGGTGCAGGGTACCCAAGAACAATGCGTTTTGCCACATAAAGGAGGCAGGAGCAACGAGGTTACCTGTTGTGTAATTCCGTTCAGAAAGGGGGAGACTGGAGTGGTTCGCAGCTAGGGGTCGCGGTCCTGGTGGCCCCTGAGGCTGCCTCGGGGATGTGGGAGTCTGCATGTGCTGAGGTCATCGGCTGTGCCCCAAGTCCTGCCGGTGAGTTGGCCATCTTAGGATGTCTGTGTACTGCGGATTGGGTCTAGTGATTGTTGGGGAGCCACGTGCCCTCGCTTAAGGGGGGTAGGTTGGGGCTAGGGCCAAATTGAGTATTTTGAGTGGACAGGGTAAGGCTAAAGATAGGAAATGTGTCCCGTAATTGGTACATTTGTTTCTCATGAATGCGTACCTCAACAGTGTAAGTTTTAGGCTGAACAAATGAGGGAATTACATATACCAGCATGCCTGGTTCTTGGTTAAAGTTACAAAGAGCAAGAATGTTTACATACTGCCTGGAAGCTGCAGCATCCGGGTGACAGCACACAGGCTTCTCTGAAGCCAAACCAGCATTAAACAGTGCTCAGTAAATGGCGCCAGCGCTCCCTGCGGCAGGGAGTGGTTGCAGGGTTCGTGCAGGAAAAATACAGGACGCGCTGGAAGCCAGTCCCAGAGGAAGGGTTGTGAAACAGCCCGGACAACATGTGGCTAGACCATCTATAACAATAAATAAGTACTGGAGATAATACAGATATACCTGAATGCAAAGGAAGAAAGATCCCTGCTGGTGTAACAGCAAGGTCTACAACGTCCCCATTCAGGTGCTGCAGTGATTGCTGCAGGCAACATCTACCAGGGAATTGAGGGCAGATGGTTAAGAAGACAGGATATCGGCATAGTCTTGGAATGTTGTTCAGAAGTTCTTGAAGGGGCGGGTGTTTGACCTAACCCTTAGGATGCGGCTTGAGACACCCAGAGCCCATGTGTGTCAGGGATGATCTGTTTCCAGCCAGGAGCGAATTGCTCCCTGGACATATATCCGCAACACCGCCCGAGATGTGTGTATCTTCTTCATCGTGCATGCTGTTGGTCTTTGGATGGACCCCCACGCTTTCCCGGTGTGATCTGAACTGCGTCTGTGACAGCGTGAGGCGATGACTGATGGTGACCCAACCACCTGATGGTTGCTTTCGATTTTCCAGGGTTGCTACAATGGAAGTTAAAGGGAAAAAAAAATTCGCAAGAAAGAATACAAAGCCGTCTCATGAAAAAAGCAGATTCCATAAGAGCAGTGGTAAGGCAGCTGTATCCAAATACACTTCTTGGGTGGGTGGGTTGTATCTTTTTTCTTCTTGTCGTTTGAGGGTGGGGCATTGTAGCAGAGTCCAGTTTATATTAGTGGGAGAATTTCGGGGTGGAAATAGTGGGAAGAAGCTGATCAGATTGGTTGTTAGCTTGCTCCTTATACAGTTCAGACATTTAGGACGTTGTAAATGAGCAAACCCCTCCCTGATTTCAGGTGTTAGCGCCCGAGTTATTCTAGTTCGCCCCATGTTTGATCTTCATTTTTGGGATCGGGCTGATCCGACACCTGGTGTTGCTGAGCTTGAAGCTTTAGGGTTTCTGCTGGAGATGCCTTCCTATTTCCATTGGGTGTCAGTGTTTGCAGATGGAGGCGTGACTGTGCTTCCTAGACAGCCCGTGTTGTTCCTTTGCAGTGGACTTACAGCACAGCGGCTGTTGTTCCATCTCATTTGCTAGATACTTCCTTTGTAAGCCTTATTGCCCAAGGAGGGCATGATCAAATGCCTTCTTATCAAGTGAATTAGAAAACTTTAATTCCCCCCCCCCAACATAGGAATCCTGAAATTGTGCAGCTATACTGTTAAGGTATATTTTCTTAAGTTCAAGACTGTTCCTTTTATTCTTGGGCTCTTCCTGTGTCGCTGAGCCAGCGAAAATTATGTTTAAAGGGAAATGGTATGGGAGTAGGTGGTTGGTCACTGCTTCTGACTCTGGCATCCCATGTGCTGTGCCCACGCCTTGAGGACTCTACTTCCGGCTGAGCTTAACGTGACCGTGAGTCGCGGCAGGTGATGGCTCAAGTCCCTGGTCCCTGCCACACATGAGAGGGGCTGGAGGATGGTGCCAGCTCCTGGCTCTGGTCACTCCCGCCCTCACCACAGGTGCATCTATGTCAAATAAACAAACCTGAATAAATTTAAAATGTAATTGACTAATACAAAGCAGGATAGGCAGGTGCGTTAATGTATATCATCTCTACTGTACGTTTAAGACTAGAGACCTGACTTGCCAAAGCAGCAGCATTGTTTATTTCTGGGTGGTAGAGCTGCATATCGTCTTATTGTATGTTCCTTTATGTTCACGCCTTGCATGTTGAATCTGTTAGAGTAGGGGAGTTTTTTCATTGTTAAAATCCTCTATTCAGAAAGCTAAGTGTGAACAAATCTTTTTTTCTTTTATTGTCACCAGATTCTGGTTCTTCGCAGACCTTCCCAAGGAAAGTCCTCAAGGAAGATGGGCATAAAATCACATCGAAGAGCTTTGAGAAGAGTGCTGTGAAACCCGGGAAGAAGGGTGTGAAACAGTTCAAGAACAAGCAGCAAGGGGACAGAGGATCTAAGAACAAATCCCAGCCAGCAAAGAACTTCCACAAGAAGAGGAAGTTCCAGGCGGACGGTCAGAGCGATGGTGAGTGCTGGTCCCTGCTGAGGCCCTGCTGTCCCTGAGTCGGTTCCCAGACCCCGGAGCACACGGCTTCTGCGTGTGTGTTGGGGGGCCTACTCTGCTTGCTCCTTGGTAGGAAAGCATCTCTCCCGGCCAGAAACTTCCCTCTGGTGCAAAGAGTTCCTCCATTTTTTGGCACCCTAAGATTGCTTAGCCATCAAGTTGAACCAGATAACAGTGGCTTTTTAGTGGCTCCTCAATATGACAGTCCCTTCTGTAGGTTAAAATCCAGTCATTCATTTGTTCATCCAACAGTTGGAGTGTTAGGTGGCCAGAATGATGAAGAGCAGAGGCAGGGCTGCCGGGCTTAGAACCAGCGCCCATATGGGATCCCGGCATGTTCTAGGAGAGGACCTTAACTGTTACTCTATCGCGCTGGGCTCCCTATGCTTCATATTTTATTTGTCTTTGGAATGCTTTTATTTTCCCTTTTTTTGTTGTGTAGTAGCATCCTGTTAAGAAGAGTCAATAAAGAGCCATCGAGTGAAATGCAAGAAAGTGTAAATTTGGAGAGGATGTTATTTCCCCTCTGTGGTTTCTATAATGAGTGTTGACCCTGATTAATAATTGCCCTGTGTACTCAATTTTTAGTTGTGTTACTCAGAATTCTAAGTGTAATTGAAAATAATTTGTCTGAAAAGCAGAGTCAGCAGCCAAGAAACCCAAGTGGGATGACTTCAAGAAGAAGAAGAAGGAGCTGAAGCAGAGCAGGCAGCTCAACGACAAGACCAACTACGACATCGTTGTCCGCGCCAAGCACATCTGGGAGAGCCTGAGGAGGTGGTGGTCCCGGGGGCGCCTCGGGGGTGGTGGGGAGGTGGGGAGGTGGCAGTGTGCCCCGTGAGCGAGGCTCGGCACCCTTGGGTTCGTCAGAGAGCATGCGGCTCACCGAGGAAGTGCCAGTGTTCACGCCTGTCCCTTGCAGAGATGAGCACCAGCCCCAGGACCGCAGCAGCTGGCCGACAGTTCAGACGGGTTTGATGTTCTCAGGGCGATTTCTCATCAGCCAGGTTTTGAAATGCTTAGGTATTCAATATCTTAGACGCGTTTTATTATTTTCTTTTACTCCTGGAGTTCTGTTAGGCAGAAATTACACCTTTTTGAAATGAGTGTCTGCCTCCGAGAAAATTGCTTTTGTCTGGCTGCTCTGGACTAGTAATTTTGATGGCAGAGGTTTACTGCTTTCAGAGAAAAAAAATCAAGATGAACTGGTGAACGTACCTGCTTCTTTTTCACTTTTGCAGTTGTATGTATTTGAAATTACTTCTCTTGTGGTTTCTCTTCTCATTTGTAGGAAAGATTGTGACAAAGACAAACGAGTGAAGTTAATGAGTGACTTGCAGAAGTTGATTCAAGGGAAAATTAAAACTGTGAGTAGTTACAGTTGGCTGTTGCTTTGAACAGATGCACTTGTCACTGCTTGCACTTTGCTCACAGCACTGGGAGAATCCAGTATAGGTGAAATGTCCCTTAGAACACGTGCTTAGGGTTTGCTAGCATCGAGAAGACAAAGTGAATAACGCCTAAGTACTTTTGAAGCAGGCGGGTGCTTAATACAACAAAAATGATTTTGCCTGGCTCCCGATTTTCTGGATGTTGCTAACAGCTTCCATGAGCAGGTGCTTCGCTAAGGGTCTATCTGAGTTATTGCCTGTTTGTGACAGGGGATGGTCTGTAGAATCATATTTGAAGCTCAGTCTTTCTAAGAATATGCCTGAATGTATGTAGAGCAACCCAAGAAATGGGGTGATTGATTTGCTTGTGTCATGTGCTTCTATTTGTGGAATAAGACTTTTAGATTGAGCGACCTTGTGTACACCTTGGTTTGCCAAACAGGTTTATGACAGTTCTCTCAGAATTGCGGAATGATAAGTTTTTAAGCTAGAATAGTACTCTTAAAGAAATTAACTTTTAGAGAAATGAGAGGTATCATCCATATAATCCTTTGGTTTTTAGTTAGGCTTCGTTTTGATTTTAGTTACTGGGATCCTGTAACCCACCCTCTGTCTGGGTACAATTCTACCTACCAAATGTGGTAGGCAGCAAAAGCAAAATGAGCAAAAACGTACGATTGACCAAGTATATCCATTCTGAAGAAGTGTAGCTTTGACTCATCCACAAAGATACCTACTTATTTATTTATTTATTTATTTATTTATTTATTTATTTATTTATTTATTGGACAAAGAGTTGTAAAAGGAATAACAATAAAGCAAAGAGTGAGAAATAAATGTAACTTCAGTGGCTCAACCTGCTTTTTCCAGATCGCGTTTGCGCATGATTCAACTCGCGTGATCCAGTGTTACATTCAGTATGGCAATGAAGAGCAGAGAAAACAGGCTTTTGAAGAATTGCAAGGTATATGTCATGAAGTGAAGAGTCTTATGGTTTTTATAGTAAGCGACTAGTTGTCTTTTGAATTATCCAAGAGTGTCTTAGACAATGATTCTGTTGAGATAGGACCCTTTTTATTTTCATTTGTTCTTTGCCTGGCACAAGTAGAAAGCCATTTGCCCCATCAGCGTTTATTTCATTCTCTCCAGTGTTTCCAGAGAAGCTGAAGGACAAATATCAAGTCGCTTGAATATGTTTTGTTTTTCAGATGATTTGGTTGAATTAAGTAAAGCCAAATATTCCAGAAATATCGTTAAGAAATTTCTGATGTACGGGTAAGTTGTTTTGCTTGGAAAGGGTGTTTTTCCTTGGCTTTCTGAAGCAGCGGGTTCTGAGTGTGCTCGAGTCTGACTTAAAACGAGAATGACTGCTTGTAATAATGGCTCCCACACATACTGTTGCTATTTCTAGCAGATAGAATCTTCATAACACTGAAGTTAGTAGAAAATGATAGTGCTGTCTTCATTCTGAAGGCCACATCTTTTACCTCTTGAGTCTGGAAGACAAGAAGTGGAGTGATTGTCATTCGTTACCACTCTTTGGCAGGTGGAGGGCAACTGAAGCATAGGGCTGTGGTTAGTGGGCGGGGAGGGTCAAATGGGAGGCTTTTCTGAAGTAGATGGAGAGAGAAATGTCTTCCAGCTGCTGGTTTATTCCCCACCCAGTCGCAGTGGCCAGAGCTGAACTGACCCAAAGCCATGAGCTGGGAACTTCTTTCCAGGTTCCTCAAGTGGGTGAGGGGTGCCATGGGCTTGGGTCGTCCTCCCCTGCCTTCCCGTTTCATAATGGAGTGGGCTCAGACGTAGAGCAGCTGGAACTGGAAGTGGCACCCATGTGGGATGCTGCTGCCACGGGTAGAGGATTGCCCTGTTATGCCAGTACACCAGCCCTGTGGAATTGGTTCTTGACGTGCCCGTTTGAGTTTAAGCACATCCAAAATACAATAACCACCAACAAGAAAAGTATAACATACGCCGCTGACACTATTTTTGCAAAGTTATTTCTGGGTATAATTATACTCTTGATTATTTTAAGATATGATATGAATGCTTAGAATTAAGTCTAGTTTTAAAGGAGAGTTGCGTTACATGTTTTATACTCATCTCCTTGATTCTTTGGCTTTTCCATTTTCTCTGCTGCCCCCTTTTTTTTTTTTTCCAAGCTGACGAGTTTAGTATGAGCTTAGCTTTATTGGTCCCCTGCTACATATGCTGTTGGTCTCGCTTCTCATTATGCCTTAGGTCATTTAGTCCTTACAGCAGCCGTCTTCAAACACTGAGTGGTGAAATGACTTGCTCGGCCCCTTGGAGCTGAGGGGCAGAGCTTGGACTCCGAGCTGGGTGGGCTGCCCTTCCGAGGAGCTTCTAGCTTAACGTAGCGGAGGTGCAGGTGGCTTGGCATCCTCCTCGGAAGGGTTTCGCAGTGGTCGAGCTCTGCGCATGTGCGTCAGTGAGTGTGTGTCCAGCGCAGTGAGATTTGCATTTCTTTCTTTTTTTTTTTCTTTCTCCCGTGATTGTGTGGGGCTTAGAAGTAAACCTCAGATTGCAGAGATAATCAGGAGTTTCAAAGGCCACGTGCGGAAGATGCTGCGGCATGCGGAGGCGTCGGCCATCGTGGAGTATGCTTACAATGACAAAGCTGTTCTGGAGCAGAGGAACATGCTCACCGAGGAACTCTATGGGAACACGTTTCAGCTTTATAAGGTGACCGCCTCAGAAGCTTCCCTGTAATGCTCTCCGTCTTTGTCTGTGTTAGCTTTGTCTTGGTGTATTGAGTAAATGACCTGATTTAGGGTTTTCACATATTATTACCTCCCAGTCTCCATCGAATCAAGCTACTTTGGCTTTGTGTACAGTGCTTCAGTTCTGTTTCTAATCCATCACGCTGAGATAACTTTCTGAGTGATGGTGAAGCCTTGTGACCACCCCCTAGGCAGATGTGACTGAAAGGGGACTCTGGTTTGCGGTGTTCTCCTGTGTGCTGGCAGGTGTGTGCACTGCCCTTCTCTGAGGAATGTCCAGAGAGGAAGAGGGATAGATGGACCTCATTCATCGTGGATTGCACACAGGGATTGGCCCTGAAGTGGCCAGTGACGGGACCAGGACTCGGAAGAGATCGCTTGCAAACTGTCTAGCATAAACACATGTGTTCACGCGCAGGGAGGTGGAGTGATTTGCAAGTGGTCTGTGTTTGGTCTAGTTCCTACACTGAACTTGCTACTGCATTTCTTCCATATGATCGTCGTAGAGGAATAATCCAAATTATGGTAAAGCAGTGTTATCCCAATTGTATGAACCGATGACTTGGGATTAGGCCCACTCCAGGGATTTGGCAAGCACCTACCTGATGCCTGGTGTACTTGGTTGTTGAGCTGAAATGTCCAGATGGCGCTGGTCAAAGTACAGAGCGGGAGTCCTGACCGGCAATTGCTCCTTGAGTGCGTACACAGCAGGGCTTTCACTGTGTAAATACGGGGAAGCTGTACTTTAAGCTTTTTAAGAGTAACTGATTTGCTTTGTTCCGAAGTGAAGAGGGATTTCTTGTTTGTTTTGTTGCAGTCAGCAGATCATCCAACTCTGGACAAAGTGTTGGAGATGCAGCCAGAAAAATTAGAGCTTATTATGGACGAAATGAAGCAGATTCTAACCCCGATGGCGCAGAAGTAAGGAAAAGAAAATGTTTTTTTCTTTAACAGATTTAGAGGAGGCGATTTCAGAAGGGAAGGTTTGTGTAACCCTTGCCCAGAAACAGTAAATGTCTTCTCATCAATATGGCTTGAATAAGTGTGTGAAAATTTTGATTTAAAATCCTTAGTACCAAGGCACATGGTTTTTCTTTCTGATACCATGTCCTGGAAAATTGTAACATATAATATATTGTGACTTATGAACTTTTTAAGTGGTGAGACATCTTCTCAATAAAATATTAATGTTGAGTCCGTATATTTAAATAGTTCTGCAGATACAGCTTGTTCTTCGGACTGGGTTGTGGGATTTCCTCGCCTGTGTGGATATCCTGCTTGGTGTCTAGCACGGCAGAGTGGCCAGGGGAATGGCCTCCAGAACCGTGGCTTGGGTGCCTTGCCTGGTACAAAACCCCTGGCCCCATTACTAGTGGGAAACTTGGGTCCTTTCCCTGAGCCTCAGTTTTTATTTCTGTAACACTGGGGTAATAGTAGTTCATATCTCATTAGATTCTGTGAAGGTAAATGATATGACAGAGTGCTTCGCTCACCAAAGCAGCATTAGTTTTTACTGTATTTTTTGATTTCCTATTCCTGGCCATGTAAGTTTCTGTGCTAAATTCTCCCAAGTGTCAGGATAGAGGGCATGCGTCGCATAGGTGCCATGGCACTTGCTAGCACTCTTTGGTTTCCTAGGGCATCTATTGGTCCTTTTGTTTACTTTGTATATGTATTTTTTTAAAAGAAATGCCATCTCCTGATTTACTTCCCAGCTGCTTGCAAGAGCTGAAGTTAAGAGCAAAGAGTTCAATCCGGATTTCCCCTGTGGGTGGCAGAAGCCCAACTCCAGAAGCATCAGTGCTCCCTTGGGGCTGGGTCTTGAACTCAGGGTGTGGATGTCTAAAGTGTTGACTTGACTTTAAGGCCAAATGTGAAAATATTTTTGTGAAATTGGACCTAAAAGTTAGTTGACAGAAAGCAGCTATAAAAAAGATGAGTGTGAGAGTTGTCACAGTGTAAGAGGCCTCTGGGGTGGCTGCATCCCTTGTCGGTGTCCGACACAGACACCCTGTGCCCTCGACAGTCATCCTGACACTGTGGGTCCTGCGCGGTGGCAGGTGATGCCACTAAGAGGTAGGGACCTGGACGGAGTTCCTGCCCTGCGGCTTCAGCCTGACCCAGCCCTGGCTGCTGCAGGCCTTTCTGCCTTTCAAATAAAACAAAAAATGACTTCAAAGGCATTTTTCTAAAAAAATAGGAATGATTCCATGTTGGTTTTTCACCATGTATTCATTCCTGGGCTCAAATAAATAGTTGTCTTAGAGAAACTAGAATGTATTTTTAATGATTTTATTCATGAATAGATACTGAAAGTTTGTTCTTTGGTCTTGCTTGCTGGTGACACTGAATCAGTTTTGCAGTGTAAACTTGTATAAATCTTCTATATTGCTGAAAGATGGGGACTTATCCTAGGACAAATTTACCAAAAAGGCTTTGCGTGTTAACTTCAGAGGAGCTGAAGTTACCCACCTCGTTACAGTCATCGAGCCAGAACTGACCTGCTTCTCTTCTTCCTCTTTTCAGGGAAGCTGTGATTAAGCACTCGTTGGTACATAAAGTGTTCCTGGACTTTTTCACTCATGCACCCCCAAAACTCAGATCAGTAAGTACTTAGTGTTTACTCTTAAGCCTCAGCAGGGGAAGAGCCCTGTGGAAACGGAGTCCCTGCTCTGATGTGCAATGTGTTTTGAATTTTACATAGCTGCTTCCTTGCTTAGAAGAGAGACCTTATTAAATTTTCCTTTGAATAAGTCCACCTAATGTATGTAGATTTTTTTAATAGAATGCAGCAGAATTAACCCTGGTTTTATTAATTTCATTGAATGCTTAGATTTTCATTATAATCCAGAGAGTGTTCAGCATTCAGGTAGTGTTCAAGTCAGCTGTTCAAGTGCTACCCCAGCACTCCCAGGAAAGAAATGAGGCTGACGTTAAAAGGTAAGGCGAGCACACTTAATGTAACGCTAAATGGCCCGTGAGGACCTGGAGCTCGTATTAAGGATGCAAGTGAAGGGAGGTTGTGCTGCCCTTCCGGTCGGTGGTGAGAATAGAAATGAGAACTCATCCTCGAGGTGTCTGAACTTGGCTCGCCTCACCATACAGTGAGCTCATTGTCCGTTCGTTTCCCTCGTCTCACAAGGGACAGCTAAAACAGTGGGACTCACTTCTTCTGACACACATGCGGATTATACATTCATAGGAATTCTAATGCTCTCAGAATTGGTGCGCAAACTTAATTTCCCCAGAGCAGCCAAACTCCTTCAGAACTTAGTGTGGATATCAAGTCACGAGACAAACTGAATTTTCTGGCCCTGTGGATGTTTTCAAAGGAGAGGCTTAAAGCATTTGTGGATAATGGAAGTGCATTTGGCCCCTGCGCATAACTCCAGCTGGGCAGCTTTGAAGAAATTGTCAAGTTCACACAGTCGTGTTCTTAAGCATTATCCTAGGAAGGATTTGTAAGAAACCTGTGGGTGACATCGCTTACTGATGAAATTAACCAGCTGTCTCGGCTGTTAGAGACTTGCTGTTTTTATTAAATTTTATTTGAATAAAATAGTTTTTAAAGGGTTTTTTTTTTTTAATAGTCATTTATGGGTCTGGACATGGGCTAAATATTAACACACATTAATGCTTTCTGGGAGACATGTTATTTAAGTGAGCTTAACTTTTTAGGAGTCATCGGTGATAATCTTAAAAAACAAATTTCCGTTCACAGTGTTTTGGTTCTCTGTTATACACCTGTCCGTTTTATAGAGACATGTTTAATTTATACTTCACTTGTCCTGATAAACATCTGTCGTAGCACTCCTACTTGTTAGGATTCTTTTTCTTACAAACTGTCATTTAATATATTATATCATAGTAGAGACTATAGGCTTTTGAAAAATAGACATTGGTTAAAAAACGCAGGTACTTGAATGGAAGTCCCCTATTACTATGTTTGATGTAGCAATCAAAAAATTAACTTGCATATTAACCAAATAGTCAACAATTAGATATTTTAATATATGCCATTATATTAATCTGACCTATAATAATATAACATCTGTGATGTCATCTGAAAATATATTAAATGATTTGATTCATTAATCAGATTGATATATTTGAAGCAATCAGATTTTCAAATAATTGGTATCAAATTTGGCAATTTGATGACATTACTATATAGTGGTAGTATTTGCAGTTCTTAATGGGAATATTTATAGAAAGAAGGTATGTTTACGTATTTGTTTGCAAAAGGACAGATTAGCTGGTTTCTACTTACGGCTTCTTCCCGTCATTGGCTGTGTGTCACTGGCCCCTCATAGACAGAGGGAACAAAGAGGAACGTGTAACCCAAAGCCCTAACAAAAGCTGTTCCCTAGGAAATGATTGAAGCTATCCGAGAAGCGGTCATCTACCTGGCACACACACACGACGGCGCCAGGGTGGCCATGCACTGCCTGTGGCATGGAACGCCCAAGGTGAGTAGGCCGGGGCGTGATGGGAGAGGACCAACATCCCCAGGACTGTGCCTTGGCTACCTGCTGGACTCTCCGGCTTCTGGTCCCCGCAGGGTCTGTGCAGTCGATAGGCACAATGTTGATGGTCCGCTTTAGGGTGTGGTTGTTGGGGTTTGAGTCTCATTCCGTCCTCATTTCGGGAGCACAGTGGAGGGCGGGCCTGTGTAGTTCTGCCCGTGACAGATAGCTCTGCACTGCCATGTTTTTTAATGTGTGTGAACTGAATTAGACTCGGTGAATGCATCACTGGGTGCTGGACCCTTCTGTCTTTGAAAACAGGTCAGGCAGTGGAAGAGGGATTTTTGTGGGTCATACTGTAACAGGAGGCGGATCTTCACAAGGTTTGCCTTTGAACTTGGAATTTTATGCCTCCAAGTAAGTAACTGAATGGGCTGTCAGGTGCAAGTCCAAAATGGTAACAGTTCTGAGAGGACTTGGCGCTGTCAGCTTTTCATTAATGGGACATTGTTTTCACCGATGTGAAAATGTGCTGTGTCAGCACTGAAGTATCCATAACGTGTAACCAGATTTTCCTTTTCTTAAGGACAGGAAAGTAATTGTGAAAACAATGAAAACTTACGTTGAGAAGGTGGCTAACGTAAGTATGCTATTACTACTTATTTTAATTATTGTTAGTAGTTACCCGATGAATCGTGGTGTTTTGGAAAATTTCAGAAACATTCTGCATCACAAAATTATTCATTGTTTTATTGCAATCTTTTTGGTAGGACATACGGGTAATTTCATATGTTTGTACAAAATAGGATTCATTTTGTGTATTTCAAAAAGTTTAACATCTTTGACATCTCTCTTTTACACACTGTTCTTTAAAGCCCTGCAATTTATTAGCTTCTGTAATTAATGTTTCCAGTTATAGTAGTTATTGTATAGATAAGGTGTATACTGACTTTGGACTATTGGTGAGTAATATTGCATTGCATTTTAGAAACTTGTTACTAGATTGCATTGCATTTTAGAAACTTGTTACTAGTTTTCATTAAAGGATATCAGAAGTTAAAATTAATTTGTTTTTACTTGTAATACATTTAATATGGATGTGGAAAACTTGAATTGGTACATCCGTTGTTTCACTGTGAGATGCAGTAACCAATCTCCTTCTGAAATTATTGAATGCAAAAAAAGTGTTTTTTATCAGGGATAAGTTGCCTCAAAAATAATGTTTATGGACAGGCATTTGGCCTCGCTGTGATGATGCCTGCAGCCTGGGTCCTGGTGTCTGGGCTCCCGGCCTGGCTCTGACACCTAAGGTCGGCTTCGTAGCACTGCAGGCTCAGACAGAACTTATGGTCTCCTTACTTGCTGCCTGTCACTCCCATGAGGAGTCTGGATTTGCATTTTTTGGTGCTGGGCTTGGGTCACACACACAGTCCGGTGTTTAAAGAGTGGCCAAGCCAAGGGGAGACATGGTGTCTGCTGTTCCTTCAGCCTCCCACTCTTTCCCATTTTTTTTCTTACTTTTTCTCCATCTCTCACATAAAATAACGTTTGTATCTAATTGGATATTAAACAGTATTTCTTTTTATGTGTTGGCCTTGTGGCCCCAGCTGTTGTCTTCCGTAGGATTAAAAGATCAAAGAGGTAGTATCAAACCATCAAAAGACAGACAGGTTGTCTTTAACAAAAAGTGAAATGAAGAATTTTTTTTATGTGTTGCTTCTGGAGCTTGAGAAAATTTTGTGACTTATAGTTTATTAACTATCCTGTACACACACACATACGAACAATTTCATTTGATTACATTAAATTATAAATGAGTAAAAGTAGAATGTCATTTTTTAAGTAATGCAATCCATTGGGTTTTTGCTTTTTTTTTTTTTTTGGCAGTTTAGTTGTATCAGATAGTCCAACAAGAAAGCTTTGTGATAATCTGATCTCAACATGATATTGTAATGCCAACAAAAATTTTTTTGCATTTTTAATTTTTATTTAATTTTTAAAAATTTCTTTAGGGTGGACTGACAGGGAGAGCAGGGAGAGTCAGAGAGAGATCCGAGTCCACTGGTTCACTCCTCTAAGGCCTACAACAGTGAGGGTGGGGTCATTTTGGTCTAGCATGTATGTGGCAGGAAGCCAGCTGTTGGAACATCTTCTGTTGCTTTCTTAGGCTCATTGGTAGGGAGCTGGATTAGAAGCAGAGCAGCTGGGACTGTAATATAAGATGCTGGCGTAGCAAGCAGTGGCTTAACCCACTGAAACACAACTGACAGTATAAGCTTTCACTTTGATGAGTCACTTTGACACAAGGGAGATGAACTAGCGTAACCTGTGGGGAATTGTTGGATTTACTTCGTTCAGGCTTGCCATACGGGCTATCCTTAAACAGAATGTGCTAGGGTGTGTTGGTGTGGCTTCCTAGCAATGTCAGAGCAATAATGTTGCTCGGGCTAGCAGGGTTTTTATTGATTTCCATATTTTTTAGTTCTGTCGATTGTGGAAGGAAGTTTTGGTAAAGTGATATTGTGGGGCTGGCTCTTGCTTAGGTTCTGTCCCTTACCAGCTTCTGTTACGGTCACCTTGCGCTATTGGGTTCTAGATCACAATACTGCAGTATTGGGTTCTATGTGTGACTTCAGAATGCTGAGACTTGAGATCAGCCAGGTGGCATAAAATGCTGATTCTCCACCCTGTGACCTTGGCATCCCAAATGAACTCTGGTTCCTGTTGCAGCTGCTCCACCTTCTGTCCATTTCCCCACTTGTGGCCTGGGAACGTAGTGGGAGATGAGACCCTTGCGACCCTAAACTCATGTGGGAGACCCTGAAGAGGCTCCTGGCTTTAGATCAGCTCAGCACAACCCATTGTAGCCACCTGGGGAGTAAATCTGGAATGGAAGAGCTCTCTGCAAAGTCTACCTTTCAAATCAAAATGAATCTTTTAAAAAAACCCAAACCCGAGGAACACGACGCATTTTGTTCTGTGTTTCTTGCCCTTCGATTCATCTTGGCGATTCATTATGTCTTATTGTACGGCTATACCTTAATTAAACCAACTTTACCGTTGGATGCATTGGGTGACTTCCTTCTTTTTTTTTTTCTTTTCAAAGATATATATATTTTTTATTGGAAAGGCAAATTTTACATAGGAAAGGAGATATAGAAAGGTCTTCAAACGTTTTTACTATTTCTTATAGGTAGGTGGAAATCAGTACTTCGTTGTTCTGATCATTGTGCTGAAAGGTTTCTTGCAGCCTTCTTATACGTGTTTCCAAATGTTCTACTCTCCCGTGAGCTGACTCTCCGTGGTGGTTGAGTGCTTTCCCTTGTTGCAGAGTCCCATCCTCGTTAGATCTCTGCACTTGATCTTTGACCTTATGGTTAGCAGTGTCAGTGTTGCTTCTGCTTGAGAGCTTACCATGGCTGGCAGTTCATGTTCGTTGAACTTGGCTTTGAGAGAGCTGTTGATTTTATTTAAAAATAAGTCCCCCCCTAAAAGCCAAAGGGAGAAAAATAGAAGGCCGTCAGCCACGATACCGAAAGGCCTATGCTATAAAGCTCTGGAAATAGCTTCCATTTATTTATTTACTTACTTACTTATTAATTAAGTGACAGAGACTGGATGCATAAAATGCTTGGAATGAGATCAGTGTTACAGAGATGACGTTTCAATGCTGTGACTGCCACAGTGAATGTGTGCGTATTCTCACACTGCTTTACTTATGGGAGCAAATATTACTATCTTACTCAGTAAATGTGCGTTTTTCTGATTTATTTTCTCAGTCTTTGTGTTCCGGCTATGTAGGAACAGTTTCAAGAAATTGGACCACATATCCAAAGGAAAGTCGGAGCTCATGTGTGGTCCTTTGCCCCAGACATGACTGTTGCATTACATTGAGCCTGGGAGGATGTTCTGTATTCATATATTATGTACGGGATGTATGCATGGTCATGTCTGGGTCTGCATGCATTATCTGTCATGGTTTGAATAGCACCTACATGTATTGGGTTTTTTTTCCCCCTACTTAATTTTATTTCTTTAATTTTCTTAAATTAATTTTCAAGAAGCTATTCCTTGACGGGGTTCCTGTTTGAGCAGTCGTTGTGTCCTGCTTAGTATTTGGCTCTGGGATCATGAAGTGTGAACGCGAAAGCACTGTGAAGTGCCCTTTTCCATTTTCTCAGGTGTACTTTAGAATGTGATATTTAGATGATGACAAGGAAAGAATTCGTTTGTCCACCTTGTTTACCCTGTAATGCAGTAGACCGGGCTGGTACACTTGGCATGAAATGCAAGGAGGAGTCTGCGTGCGTTATTTTCACTGTTGCTGGGTTCTGCCGCTTCCAGGGCCAGTACTCCCACTTGGTTCTGCTGGCCGCGTTTGATTGCATCGACGATACCAAGCTGGTGAAGCAGATCATCATATCGGTAAGTACTTCTCATTGTCCTCAGCGGAACTTCCCTCAGTCTGTCAGTCCCTGGCAGGCATGTCCTTTTTCCTTCACAGATGCGTGTGTGCAAGTTTCCAGCTGCTAGATACTAATTTTTTTTTTTTTTTTTTTGGATATTATTTAGTTGTCTCAGCTAGATCTTACCTTGAAGGTTTGCCTTTTTCCTGTATGAATCGTGTCCTTATAACTTGATCTTAACACTAAATATTTAGAAGTCTTATAACACAAATTTTGCGTCAACATAGCATGGCTTTTGTGTGAGATATTTGTGATAGGTAATCAGTTTACATAATGAATCTTCAGTCATGTGGGAACTCATGGGCCACGGCCTTCCGTGCCCTCCCCACTGTCACCTTGGTTTATCAATGCGTCTTTGAGGCTTGAGATGTTACTGGAAAACTCACAGTACTCTGCTGTTGTGCTGACTAGGGTTTTCATGCAAGTTTTTGTGTAGTCAGGATCAAAATACTAGCTTGCCTTTGGCATTTCAGCCACTCTTTCCAGCCTGTGTATAGACTATGAAGAGCCGTAGCTTCCGTAGGGAAGGGCTGCAGTGTCCTCCGGGTAAACTCCTGCCCAGCGTACACTACGCTCTGAACCACATTTGCTTCCTTTGTCTGCGGTGGGTGCCCGGCCCCACCCGCTCCTCCTTTCTTGATTTCCGTTCGCTTTTCCTGTGCATGTGGTACTGAGGTTTCAGTCGTAGGGCTATGACATTGAGTCACTGATAGCAGAAGCTGAACATTAGTTTTTAAAAAGCACGTGATCTACATGACTGATGATTATTCACATGGAAACTGCAGACCTTTCTGCTGGACAGATGGGCGTGGGGTCCTTGGGGATGTCTTGGTGGGCAGGTGTGCTTTGACATCACAGACAGGGAAGTGCACGCGTGGCTTAAGAGGAGTGCTTGTGGTAAGGTGCTGGTCCCATGACCTGTGTGGACCAGTGGGGCTGTGAGGTGCTGGTCCTGTGCTGGTCCTGTGAGCTGTCTGTAATGTGGGGCTGTGAGGTGCTGGTCCTGTGATCTGTGTGGTCCACTGGGGCTGTGAGGCACTGGTCCTGTGACCTGTGTGGTCCACTGGGGCTATGAGGTGCTGGTCCTGTGAGCTGTCTGCACCCGTGGGGCTATGAGGTGCTGGTCCTGTGAGCTGTCTGCACCCGTGGGGCTGTGAGGTGCTGGTCCTGTGCTGGTCCTGTGAGCTGTGTGCACCCGTGGATGCTGGTCCTGTGCTGGTCCTGTGAGCTGTCTGCACCCATGGGGCTGGGTGCGTAGAAGCAGTGTTACGGCTTCTGGAGGGGAGCTTGGTCATTGGGGACCAGCTGTGCTTGAGTTCAGTTTGAATTTCTCATGCCCTCGCTGTCCTTTTCCAACTTAGCACTTGGCTTTCAAGAGTGTGCTGACTTGCTTTGGAGTGGGATTGTGGGAAGCAACAAGCTGGCAAGACTCCTTCCTTGTCACAAGCGGAGTGTTCTCACATACTCCTTGTGACTTTATTACCCTTTGACTCCAATCAATAATGATTGTTTTTCATTCCTGTGACAGACATGCGAAGCCGTAGAATTGGCCACAGAATAAGTTGTTTCACACAAAAAGGAGACAGGCTGGGCTATTGAATGTTTGCTTTTGTTTAATATTTTCCTGACAGCCAAAATTTGCATAACTGTTCCAAATGGATTTCAAGAGAAAGCAAACTTCCTTTATGATTTGCTAGTGTTGTCTTAGCAGGTTAATATTTTATGGAAGATTTATCCCACATAAAGTCACTGTGGAAACTTTTCTTTCCTTTTCCTTAGCAGCTCAATTCCCAGAACGACTTACCACATCTTCCAAATCAGTTTCTCATACTTGGGGCAAGTTTCCCAAACTTCACCTGCTGATCTCGTCTCTCCATGCCACAAGCCCACCAGGTTCGATGTATTGTTAAACATGGAACCCTTCGTGCCAAGTCTCTGGCCGGCTAGTCCTTGCATGTTTCCCACCGTCACCACAAAAGCCACTCAAGCAGGCGGTGCTTCCGGAAGTCACCAGAGCAGTCGGCTTGCTTTGGGCCTGGCCAAGCCTTGGCTGTTTGGGGGCTTGCGGGGAGGAGCCAGCATTTGGAAAATACCTCTCTTGCTTTCTCTGTGGCATACCATCTTTTAAATAAATTTTAAAAAGCTTTTAAAAATTCAATAAAATAGCCAGGCGCACAGGATATGCCTCCCACAGTATCAAGTTGAAATCACAGCCTGGGTATCTGATCCCCTCACTTTCAAAAGTGAATATAAATTATCTTTATTTCTTTTTTTTTTTTTAAGATTCTTTTTATTGCAAAGTCAAATATACAGAGAGGAGGAGAGACAGAGAGGAAGATCTCCTGTCCCATGATTCACTCCACAAGTGACTGTAACAGGTGGAACTGTGCCAATCTGAAGCCAGGAGCCTTCTTCCTGGCCTCCCAGGCAGGTGCAGGGTCCCAGAGCTTTGGGCCGTCCTCGACTGCTTTCCCAGGCCACAAGCAGCGAGCTGGCTGGGAAGTGGGGCTGCCGGGATTAGAACTGGCACCCATATGGGATCCCAGCATGTTCAAGGCGAGGACTTTAGCCACTAGGCCACAGCACCGGACCCATCTTACTCTATTTCTAATATAAGCATATTTTAGAATAATGTATCCGTTGTCAGTTGTTTCAGGATGAAGAAGTGTGTATGCACATTTAAAGATCTGTTGCCTTAAGAATACACTTCAACTTGAGCAGTGAACACTTAGCCTCTCCTTGATAGTTAGGGCCCTTTGTTTACTGCCCTTAATCCCGCATCCTACCCTGGGTCCCTGCCCACTAGAGTGAGTTTGGCATTTGTTATTCACACACATGTCTTTATCTGTTTGCTGCATTAGTATGTATAGTATTATTTTGCATGTTTATAAATCACATATAAAACCTGACTTGCATCTGTTCTTGGGGTCAGCCTGTGTGTTCATCTTTGGTTTGGCAGGCCTGTTCTGTCGAGGGCTGGATAGTAATTACAGACCTTTTGCATCATTTGGGGTCTCTGTCAGTTACTGTTGGCCTTGGTTTTTCCCTTTTCACAAGGCTTTGACCTATGAACGCTGTTCCTGACTCAGACTTCAGTATGAGTCTGCAGCCTGGATTTTACCCATGGGCCAAACAATTCTATATGGATGTATTACAATTGAATTTTCTGTTTTTCTGGAGACTCATTGATTGCAGCTTTACCACCTTTCTAAATTATTGCTAATATTTGCTATTGTAAGTAATAATCATTCGTATTTCTGTCTCCTTCTGCACATGTTCCATTCCTTTAATGCTTTACGTTAGAACTGCTGGATTGCTAAGTACACTAATCATACAAGATACTAATATAGGCGCGTATGACCATGTGTTTCCTACCTATTACAAAAAATGCCACGTCATACATCGTTTAAAAAGCAAAGTGCTTCTAAGCATTTGGTTCAGAGTAAGTGGACCGTAGCCTGGTCATCACTTCTGTGTCCTGTGTGTTGACCAAGTTTTGTCAGTTCCCAGTAGTGTTCTGTGATCCTCAAGCCAGATGTGTTGTCCCCAGCTTCTCAGCTGCCATCATCTTGGTCTTTGCCTGATGTCAGTGAACCAAGGGGGAGTAGAGGGCTGACCAAGGCCGGGACCACTGCCCACCCGCAGTCTCTGTTAGCGTGAGCTCCCTGCACACCTGCCCGTGTGTGTGTGTGTGTGTGTGTGTGTGTGTGTGTGTGTGTGTGTGTGTGTTTGTATTTATTGAAATGAGTACCCGTTGCTCTGCACCCTATCTCTATGGCCTTTTTGCTTTTCAACATTGAAATATTATTTCAATGTTGTGCTTTTTGAGTATATCCGAGAAGGTGCACTCCAGGTGAAATTAATTTGCTACTCCAGCAGAACAGTCTGTCTGGTATTCTAACCTTCTAGGTACTTGTACTGGTGTTCGTTATCTGAAACTCTTGTGTTTGGGTTTGACTCTTGGCTCTTGTGCTGCAGCTCCCGCTCACGGGCTGCTTTGGTGTTTCAGTTCCCTATATACACATAGACACACACACACTGACTCACCAGCTAGGAGCTGTGTTGTTGCTGTTCCTTTCTGTTTTAGAATTGTTACTGAGGTCCCGGCGTGGTGGCCCAATGGCTAAAGCCCTCACCTTGAACGTGTCGGGATCCCGTATGGGCGCCAGTTCTAATCCCGGCTGCTCCACTACCCGTCCAGCTCCCTGCTTGTAGCCTGGGAAAGCGGTCGAGTACGGCCCAAAGCCTTGGGACCCTGCAAGCTGTCTGGGTGGTAATTTAAATGGCTTTGTAGTCCAGAATCTAACCACACTTAATCAACTTTTTGTTTGGTTCATTGGAAGACATGTGTTTTCTGCGATCGGACATAACGGAAAGAAGGGTGGGTGGGAGTGGCAAATATGTCTTAAGTTTTGAAGTAAGCATTTTTGATTTTTATGAGATTGTTTACAAATGTTGGCCTCCTACAAAACCTTTGGTTCAATGTAAGTATAGATTCTAATCCTTAGATTATACACCAAAAGGCAGTAAAGTTCAAGGTGTTAAGGAACCAGCCCCTGAGTATTTACTTGCAGGTTCTGTCTGTCTTGGACATAGCAGCTTAGTGTGTTACGGAGCCGTTTCTGCCAAGCACTGTGCGATGAATTGGTCCTTCATTGTAGGATTCACAGAGGCAGTTCAGGACTTTGAAGAATACATTGCTGGCTCCCCTTCCTTCTCTCTCTCTCTCTCTCTCTCTCTCTTTAACCAAGAAAAGTTTAGTTTTACAATTCAGGGCAGTCATGTTAGTGGTTCTTGGTGTCGTCCTCCAAGTTGTGTTTTTAAAGAGCGTAGGTGTTTTGTGTTGGTTGTTACACTCACACCCTGTGCCTCATGAACAGGGGAAAGCATTTGTCCTGTCCTGTGAATTTTGCAGTGCACCACAGGCAGCTAAAGGAAGGTACCCTGAAGACACTAAGTCCTACCCTCTTTGGGCACTAAGTGCTTCATGATCAAAAACTTGCATCTTTTCAGTCCACTTCAGGATCTTTTACTTTGAAATTAGGGAATAGAAAAACAAAAAAAACTTTCTCCCCTGTAAATAATTCAGTATTTTTTGTTTTAAGCTCATTTTCTCCAGATGGTTGAAATTATATTCCCATTTTCAGGTGGTTACATCTGTTTTCTGAAAACCTGAGTGTTTCGTGTGTGACACTTTAAACTTCTCAGAAGCAGTTAGGAGAATTCCATGGGGCTGAGGATGGCTCAGCAGGCTCAGCAGGCTCGATGAGCAGCACGCAGCCGCGCTGGGCTCCGATGAAACACCTAGCGTGTGCCGGCCACTCACTCCCCAGAAGCTTCTGTGTAGGTAACTGAGGCAAGCTTCAAAGTGCAGCAAGTTAAGCAGGGTGTACAGAATGTAGACTTAGGCCATCAATGCTAGAATCAGGGATTTTACTGACTTAAATGTTGACCTGATTCCGCCTACTGACATTGCTTGTTTTCCCTTAAGCTTTGGGAAGGGCGGAACTGAATATATCACCCTGCTTAGAATCCTTTTCGTAAGAGGACGTTTGTGATTCCTCTGAAAGATGCAGGGTAGTAGTTGGGGATTAGGAGAAGGCAGAGCCCACCAGCCTCCTGCACGTCACCTCTCCCCCACTAGGGGCAGGGTCCACAAACCTGGGAGGTTAAGGCCCCAGCTGCTGGAACTACAGGTCCTTGGGAGTGTTTGTACATTTCCTTCGGCTACATGGGGATGTCAGAGGCCGAGAGGCCAGATGATGCTTTGTTGTTGTTTTTGCTGTATCTTCTCTATTAGGAATCAAGGAATTTTCCAAGGTGACTTTTGTGTCTAAAAGCATCAGGAAGCTTCCACAGGACCGTAGTGAGATGGTGCAGCATTGCGTTTTGTCACAGAAAGTCTGAGCGCTTGTAAAGAGCTTGCTGTCCTGGGGCATGTTGGCTGAGAGTGCCATGAGCGCCTCTTGCGTCTGCCTAATGGAGGCCCTCTGCGTCTCTTCCTCCCTCCCCCAACACCCAAGTGTTTGTTTCTCGGTGCTGTGGTTACAGCAGCCTCCTTCTCTCATGAATAATGCAGCTAACATTGCAAACCTAACCACCCCCTAACACCCCCCCCAAGTTCTCTTTAACAGACTGTCGCCTGTTACATGCTTCATGGCAGGGACATTCTTTCTGCTGATGAGTCTAGTGACCTAAGGAATAGCTGTCATAGTGAAGGACTCTAACTCCTTTTAACGTCCTTACGTCACGGAGCTTGGTCAGCTACTGTGAATGGATTCTGCAGTCCTAGTGTACGGCTGCGCTTTTCTAAGACGTGCGGAACTAGTTCCAGACTCTCCATTAAGAAGCCTGGAGAAAGTAGCATGCATTCATTACTGCTTACTATCAAAAAAGCACAGACACTTTTGTGCGTAAATCAGGGGAAGCATGAGATTATTACAAGTGGAGAATGTTACCTACTTCTTTACCATTCCCAAGACTGGAAATGTTCATTCTTCGTGTTGTAATTTATACTTTCATAGGAGATTATCAGTTCCCTGCCCAATATTGTAAATGACAAGTATGGAAGGAAAGTCCTGTTGTACTTGCTGAGCCCCCGAGATCCTGCGCACACTGTGAGAGAAATCATCGAAGTTCTGCAGAAAGGAGATGGGAATGCACACAGGTAGGAGTGGCCAGAGCGGCCTCCCTCTCTGTTCTGCATCAGTGAATGCTGAGTAACTCGGGCCTCTTTGAGTCCATTCACAAACACACTCACCAACAGCGAGGGAAATAAAAATGAAAGAGCATGTACGCATCGCAGGCAGCCAGGTGTGCATTGCATTTTGGTTTGCTTCTCTTGAGTACGCCAAGGATTTGAGCACGTAGTTGGGTCATGACACGTCCCGTGGGGTATCTTGTTGTTTCATTTGAGGATTGCTCATTGTACTATTATTGGAATTATTACTTGAGCCAAGCTTCATTGAGGGGTGGGTGTCCTGTACCAGTAAGTGTTCAGCTGCTGGGGGACACAGAGATGACAGATAGGCCTTCGTATCACTGAGCGTCTGCATGCTTTAAACACAGACAGGCCAGCCCCGTGGAGAGTGACATGGTGTTGGAGAAGTTTGTGCAGTAAGAAGACTGATTGCCCCGTTTTGTTTCCCATCCATTTTACCCAAACCACTTCTTTTACATCTTCCGGCAGTAAGAAAGATGCAGAGATCCGCCGGCGCGAGCTGTTGGAGTCCATTTCTCCAGCTTTGCTGAGCTACCTGCAGGGACACGCCCAGGAGCTGGTGCTGGACAAGTCGGCCTGTGTGTTAGTGTCCGGCATCCTTGGAGCCGCCACTGGGGACGTCCAGCCTGCCATGGAGGCCATTGCCACCTTGGCAGCAGACCCGCTGCATCCTGGGGGCAAGGATGGAGAGGTAACGTGCCGTTCGGAGACAGGCAGCCGGGCTGCAGAGGCTCTCGTCAGGGGGAACCTGGCCACCGAGCACTCAGCCCCTCAGAGCAGCAGTTCACTGGGAAATGGGAAGTCACCGAGAACCCTCGAAACACTTGCATTAACTGTGTGTGCCTTAGGAAGTAGTGACAGCATCCTGTTAGAGTGGATATCTCTGATTGGCTCCAGGTTGCCTTTCTGTACTCTGAGTTTCATTGTGAATTCCCTGTGCTACCTCTTCCCCTGTTTTACATTCTCCTGTTTCATTTATACAGTCTCTGGAATCTTCCTTGAAGTCTTCCCCGATTTCCCACCATTCTGAGGACTCATTCCAAACGTGTCTTCTTATTGTATTTGAATGTAACAGTTTCCGAGAGAGATCCTTCCTTTGCTGGTTTGCTCTCAAAGGGCCTCAATGACCAGGGCTGTGATCACAGCCAGGAGCCAGGAGTTTCTTTCCTGTCTACCATTGAGTGCAGGGGGCCAGGATCGCCTCTTGCTGCTTTCTCAGCTGTCTTAGTAGAGAGTTGGATCAGAAATAGAGCACCTGGCGTCACAGGTGGCAGTTTGGCACGCTGTGCCACAGTGCCAGCTTTGGGCTGTGGTTGACACTGTCTATGTAAATTCAACTGATGTGCCCCTTGTAAATGTTACATAGGGCCAATACTTTCTCCCCTCCCCCCATTTTTTAAAATCCAAGCAGTTGTGTCAGTCTTGAGGTAATATCTGTGCTCCCTAGAAGGCAGCGAAAGGTAAGCTGACCCTGCGCTCTTAGTAGCTCAGTGAAGATCGCTAGAAGATTCTGGACTTGGCACAACATGTGCTGTATAGCCCTTGGAAAGCAGCACCCTAGGTATGTTTGAGAACAGAAGGCTGGGGGGGAGGGAGGCAGAGGCCAGACCCCACAGGGCCTTTGTCTTGGGTAAGGTTATAATCCCCGGCAGATGAGCTTGTGGGAAACCCATTTGCCAAGGCCATGGCTTCTGTTTTCAGTGACTCTCGCAAGAGCCTCTATCTCACTTGATTCTTGACTTACCATTTCATTATTACCCCTCACGTTCCAGCGTGAGGATAGGAAATGGTCTGTTCCAGTTGCGTTCCTTTCATGTATTGATCTTATAGGTAGGGGTGGGCGCTGTGGGACAGGCGTTCCCCACTCTTTCTAATGTCCTTTCTCACACCACACTGCATGGATGAGGTCTCACGTCCACTGCCTACTTGCTGTTGCTGTCCCCCTCCCCAGCATGCAGTGGATGGTAGTTCCTGCTACCCACCCAAGTAGGAGAGCCAGATTGAGGTTCTGGCTCCTGGGTTTGGCCCGGTCCTGGTCTATCTCTTGGGGCCTTTGGGAGACGATAGCTGGCAATGGAAGATCTCTTTATATTTCATCTTCTCTCTGCCTTTCAGATCCATAAATCAAGCTTCTAAGCAGTAAAATAACTATACTGAGTGCTCAGAGATGAAATGATGAGGTCCCTGCCCTGGAAGAGCTTGGGATGTGTTGAGAAGAGGCATACAGGCGAGGCGTTAGCTATACAACAAGGGAATTGTTGCAGTGGCTTTGTTCAGGCTGCGATGGGAACTGATGGGAGCCTGCTTAGGATGTGAGGGGAATCTGAATTTTGATCCCAATCTGAGGACATCTGTGACTGGATGCTTCACAGAGGCATGCAGTGGCTACAAACGACAGTGCGCCTCATGGCCTCATCAGATGTCCGTCAGCACGGTGAGAAAGCAGCGGCTCTCGGCTCTGCATGTGCGGCTGTCTCCCTCCGAGGCTTCCTCCTTAGCTGTGTTATTCCTGGTCCGCTGCCTTTGGCGCTGTGGCTGCATCCTGAGCGTAAGCTGTCGGCAGCAGCCTGCCCCACTGCCACAGGCCCCTCAGCAGCAAGGAGAAAAACAGGAGCAGGTGCCTATCCTTACTTGGCCTGGGAAGAGAACCTGCAGACAGGCTTCCCTCATGCCCATCAGAGCTGAGTCACACACCAGCCTTTGCGATGGCCAAGCCTGGCTGAGACCTGTCACGGTGTTCCCTGAGACCACGGAGGGGCGGGCTCTTGGTGGGCAGAGAGCTCGGGAAGGAGAAGTTTGTGAAGTGGACAGGCTCGGAGTCTTTCCCGCAGCAGGGATCATCCTGCAGTGTTACTCTGATTCTCACTGAGCGTGTGGGTCCAAGTCCAGCCCTTGGCAGTTCTAGGGAAAATGGATGCTGAATGTTGAGAGCCTTGAGTGCCTCTGATTCATGGGACTGGGAAAGAGCAGTGTCTTCTGGTTCCAGCCCTGGCCCCTGCCCGTAGAGACTCAGGGGGAAAGAAGAATCTTTTTTTAAAAAAAAAATAATTGTTTGTCTGATGATACAGTTCCACAGGCTCTGGGATTCCTCCTCCCCACCAAGTCCACTTTCTCCTATATTATTATTATGGTGTAGTCCTTCATAAACAGTCATAAGACCATCATTCTGCTGCTTAAGTGTAGCCTGACACAATAGATAGGAATAATGGCAGAGAGTCCAGCATCCTATTGTCAAGATATACGTAAGTTTCTTTGGGAGTCTGTCTTCGATTTGGAAGTAGAGCTGCCTTCTGCGTTGTTCTTCTCATCTCGATGTGATAGTCTCTGTTATGTAGTTTCTCTAGATGACTGTGTATGTGTGTTTTGCTTGGAGGTTGCCTTATATCATAGAGAACATATGATATTTATCTTTTTGGGATTGGCTTATTTCATTGAACACAGTGGTCTCTAGTTGAGGCCATTTGGTCACAAATGGTAGAATTTCATTGTTTTTAACGGATGAGTAGTGTTGCGGAGTAGATGTTCCACAGTTTATCCTATCCACTCCTGAAAGAGGAATTTCTCCTGCACATTCTCTCCTGTGTTCAGCATGGAGGGACTCTGCCCTGTGGGGACAGCTGGCATGGCCTTTCAGAAGGAGGAAGCTGGAGTTGGGGAGAGGCCAGGCCTGCTGCTTGGACAACGCCCCTTATGTAGTCACATACATTCGAACATAATTCAGCCTTCAGTTTTCACGCGTCTGCTGTGGCGTTCTATGTCCTTCGTTGGGTTGTGTCTTAGAACTGCAGCTGTAATCTGAGAAGCAGCTGCCATGGTTTCCAGCAATCGTTCTGGGGGTACAGTTCGACCTAGGCTTGTGCAGTGTGGCCTGACCTGCTGTGTGGTCGGTGCCTTGCCCCTGTAACCTGCAGGGATGATGGGCATTCTAGGTAAAGACCTCTTACGCTTTGTGAAACTTGAAGCTCGGCTGAGCCCTCACCTGTTGGTAGTGTAGTGATATAGAAAGAATTGTAGGGTCAAGGCATGGGTGAAAACACTTCTGAAATAAATATGTTCTTGATTCCTCATAGCTTCATGTCGCAGAACACCCCGCGGGACATCTGGTTCTGAAGTGGTTAATAGAACAAGACAGAAAGATGAAAGAAAGCGGAAGACAAGGTATGCTGTGAAACCTACCCTTTTCATCTGTCTCACATAATAGAACTTCAGTAACTTGTAGCTTTCCTGAACTTTACACCGGCCATTAAAGTTAAAGGGAAAGCTTGTCAAGTGTTTAGAATTGCAAACTGTGTAAGAAATAATGCAGTGATTTGCCCCTAGAAGTTTATGTCCAAGAATCTTTACTTTTTTTCTTTCTCTTTCCCGCTTGTCCTCTCCACTTTCTCTTCCTTTCTCTGCTATGCCAGACTTCTGATGGCTTGGTCATTGCCCTAAAGGGCCATGAAGGGTGAGGTGGTGAATGGCATTACTCAACTTGGATGGCATGGTATTTCTGACTTTGAGGGCAGTGGGTGCTTGGTTATTTGGCATCAGAATGCAAGTCAGCCAGCCAGCCAGCCGGTGCTTATGGTTGTCTGGGTTTTGTCAGCCCCACAGCTGCTCTGTAGAAGCTCTTTCTCACGAGCAGGACAGCATCTTTTGTCTCGGTGACAAGCTGCATTCCATGTTGTCTCCATCTCAGCTTTAACCAGACTTTCTCTCACTAAGTTCCGTCTGTATTTCAAGCCTGACGAGATCTCCCTCCCCCAAGTTCAGACACTTTGGGACTTTTCTCTTTTACCACTGAAAGCACCAGCTGTTGAGTGTGCATCTTGAGGCGCGCTGCGGTTCTCCTGGCTGTCGAGGCCAGCAGGATGGCAGTACAGCCGTCAGCCTCACGCCACCTTTGAGAGAGGGTACTTGGGCTGCTTTAAGAGGAGCTTAAAATACTGCAGAAGAGGTATCAAATGCCTTTTTCGCTATCTGGGGAGAAAATGGTCGTATTTGTTAGAGTTGGGGCCTGAAGATTGCCAGACTCACTTTTAAAGTTTAAGAAATGTTCTAGTGATTTTTTTTTTTTTTTTTACTTCTTAATTTTAATATTCTGACAGTGCCAAAATACATGTTGGAGCCTGGTGTGTTTGTCATTTTTGTGTGACACCAGATGAGCTTTTGTCTGTTTTGGTTATCTCTTCCAATGTAACAAGCCACTTCAAAACTTTGTAGTTTTCAAAAGAATAGTCATGTGCTCCTGTGGGACCCAGTTGGGTCCATACACTTTGGCTTTGGAGCATTGCTCTTGCACGTGCGTGGTGGATGCGTTGGTATTGGTCTAGCCAGTAGCCTCACTTCTTCTTTGAACTGCTTGAGCATCCTCATAGTGTAGTGATTTGTTTTTGAGAATAAGCATGCCAGGGCTGCTGTTGTGCAGCAGTGACATCCCCTCTGAGTGTTGGTCGGAGTCCCTGCTGCTTCCCTTCCCATCCAGCTCCCTGCTTGTGAGTGTGGGAAAGCAGCGGAGGATGCCCCAAGTATCCATGTTACCCATGTGGAACAAAGAGTCAACACCTCAAGGAGGAAACAGAGCAAGTCCATAATATGTTCACCATTTGGCCTCGGAAATTGTTGAATGTCACTTTCACCAAATTCTGTAGGTCAGGTCAGTCAGCAGCCCAGTCCGATACATGCAGACTTGGATTCCACTTCCGGGTCGGATGTGGTGACATGCTAGAAGATCACACAAGTGGAAGAGAACACAGCCACTGTGGAAGGCCTAGTCTGTCTCAGCTGCTGATTTCTCTCTTTCCCTTTGGAGTGCCTGAATTGCCCTTGGCTTTTTGACTTTTCAAGGGATGGAAGACCATCCGTGCTTTCATCGGCACTAGATCCCAGTCGTCAGAATCTCCCCTTTGTCCAAAGGTTGGGATGGCGTCTTGAGTCGGATCATGTCGTGACCTTGGGAGCAGGAAATGGCAGAGTGAGAAGCTCAGCGGTGGTTTTGAGGCTTAGGCAGTAGGAAGAGAAATGATCCTGTGTGAGGCGAACTGTCATTCTCCAACACTAGCTGTGTTCGCTGAACCTTTGATTCCAGCAAACGGGAGGTGTTGCCATCTAAGGCTGACTTCCTGAACAGCTTTCATGAAAGCCTGAGGTGTTTGAGGGAGATGCAAACATGATCAGATGAGTGTTTTGTAAGAATGTATTGTTTTCCCCCAGTGATTACTGGTAAACACGGCTTTGGGTCAAACAAGTGGCCATATTCAAAAAACACTGTATAAACCTGCTTTGGGATTTTTACCTTTACGGGAGTTTCGGTGGAAATTCTTTCACTAGTTTTAATCAAGGTACTTTTACAGATTTTCGGCAGTCAGGATGGGTGCTGAGTTTAAATTTTGGGATGTGATGTTCTTTACATTTCTGTATATTTTGTAGGTTGCTTTGCAAAAACACTTGTAGAACGCGTTGGTGTCAAGAACCTCAAGGGCTGGGCCAGCGTGAACCGAGGGGCCATAATTCTTTCTAGGTACGTGTGACGTGTACGGGGCCTCATCATTCATTCAGAAGACACGCTCTGTGCTCCTTTCTCACGTCCCCCATCTGTCGCCAGCAGTCTCGTATTATCTCAGTCAGCTGTGTTCTGAACAGGCTGGCCATAAAATCAGTGTAACCCAGTCAGTCCTTACGATTACATTTGTTCAGGTTATGATTTAGTTATCAAGGATCACAAGATTACGGAGACCTTCAAATGCTGCTTTCACTACATACATGGTTTTGCCCAATGCATAGCTGTATCCTTTTGAGTCAGTAAGCTCTGTCTGCATGAGCACTATAATAATCAAGTTGTTATTCAGATCATACCTAGTTTTGCGTGTAGTTCTCATTCGTGGCTTTCAGCAAGTCTAAGGCAATAGGAAAAGCGTTTGCTGCCCAAGTTTTATGTGCTGCTTGATTGTTATTCTGCTAACATGAGAGAAAACTGGTGGTGTGAATTAAGGCCCATCTTGCCTGATGTTCTCTGGACTTAATAGCATTGAATTTATAATTTCAGATCATTGAAATTCCATGCTATCTGTGCCCGGCCGAAGCCTTTTTGTTAAGAACATTCATTTAAGAAGAAAAAAAAAATGTGTTAATTTGAAGTAATCATGATTTATTTTACCCCTGTTTTTTGTTGCCAAGTTTAGGAAAGTCAGTTGCCAGTCCTAGTTTGATTGTTTTTTTTCCCCAATGTTTTACTTGCAATATGCCAGGTAGTTTAATCTGTATTGTGTACTGTAAGTGCTACGCTCAGTGTTCTTCCATGCAGGCTCACAAATGAGCAGTCAATCCTTCAGGCATATCAGCATCTCTGAGTAACCGGGTGTTATAGATAATATGGTGCATTTCTTGTTAATATCAGTTCGTCTTCTAGTCAGTATTGGACAGTCAGAATCCATCAGCTGAAGCAAGGCCTTTTCCCAGTTCCCTTCCCAGGCATAAGAATGTTGACACCTACTAAAACATTCTTTCATTATGCTCAATTAACTAGAATTATCAGTCTTGCCATAAAATACACTGATCAAGACAGCTTATCAGTCAGAGCTCCATTTGGGTGGGTGCTCAACAGAAAGGGGTGCTGTAGGGTCCCTGTCAGTCCTGCGTAGAATTGGGAGAGCAGCATGTGTTACATCTGAGGTTCTGGATGGAACTGGCGCTGTACACTTGTTGTAGTAATACCTTTATTTGGAGGATAATGGAAGACACTATTTTGGTAAAATTACCTGCTTGTTTCTATTTTACTTAAAACTCATGTTTGGTGAGGTTTGGATTTTGTGTTGAACTTTTTCATAGTAAATGGGAAGGTATTTGGGACAGAAAGTGAAAACACGCCTTGTATGCTGGCTGCAGTGACCCAGGCAAGCTGGATTCTCTGGTACCGAAGTGCCCTGACCCTGGACAGTGGCCCAGCCTCCAGTGCCAGCCTGCTGGGTAGCCCTGGAAGAAATCATTCTACTCTTCTGAGCCTTAACTCTCCTGTTATCAATACAAGATTTAACAAGAATCCTAAAAAAAATGTAAGAGAGAAACCAAGTGAGTTTGTGCAGGTGGAATGGCCAGCGCCTGACGCATGCTCACCATGCTGACTTGTATTCCTGTTTGTCATTATGTGAGTCATATTTAGCCAAGCTCCCAGGGAGTCCCATATCCATTCAAAGGACCCTTTAGTGTTCAACTTTGCAGATGCCCTATGTTCCTTGTTCCTGTAAAATGCTGCCTGCTGCTGATAATGTATTCTCCTTTTTACTGGCATGACAGACATTTTTCAAAACAGACGTCTAAAAAGGCCAAGTGATTTCTTTTTAAAATCTGTTTCAGGGGCGAACATCCGTGCCTGGACCTGAAGAAGCAGGGGTTGGGGGTGCTGGGTAAAGAACAGAAAATTCAGACCTGGTGTTCTGTGGCCAAGATGCCCATGGCCTAACTTGGTTGAAAGATAAGTGGAGCTGGTATTCCTCAGCATACAGCCCTCTGGCAGGCTCTCAGAAAAGCAGAAGCTAAAGTTATTTTGTTTTGTTCAGTGGCTAACATTTATTGAGTGTTAGGCACTGGTTGCATGCTCTCGATACATGATTGTTTGAGCCTCAAAAACAGTTTCTGTCGTTAATCGCGTTCTGTAGAGTAGCACACAGGATCTGGAGGTGTTCACATAGCGTGTCCTTGAAGCGTGTGCAGTTATAGACTGTCGGGACTGGCTTTAAACCCAGTCTGTTAGGTGCCCAGATTAAGCTGTTCCCCCTCCAATAAGTGTAGAGTGCAGTAAGTAGCTCTCCCCTCACCAACCACCTCGCCCCTCTGTGTACCCATTCCCTCAGCTTGAATTCCCTGAGCTTGAATTGCTGCTCTGTGCAGGTAATGTTCTGGATAAGGACTTCCTGACCTTGAGCTTAAAATCCAAAATGGGGAACAGAAGATATGCACGTAGTCACTTTCATTAAATTATTTTTTATGAGCCGCCTGCAACAGACAAACACTGGAAGTGTGTACTGTTTCCCCACTTAGAAAAGAAACACTGCTAACTCACTTCCCAAGTGACTGCAGCAGCTGAAGCCGGGAGCTTCACCCAGGTCTCCCGTGTGCTTGGCAGGGGCAGCGGCTGAGCCGGGAACTTCACCCAGGTCTCCCGTGTGCTTGGCAGGGGCAGCGGCTGAAGCCGGGAGCTTCACCCAGGTCTCCTGTGTGCTTGGCAGGGGCAGCGGCTGAGCCGGGAGCTTCACCCAGGTCTCCTGTGTGCGTGGCAGGGGCAGCGGCTGAAGCCAGGAGCTTCACCCAGGTCTCCCGTGTGCTTGGCAGGGGCAGCGGCTGAAGCCGGGAGCTTCACCCAGGTCTCCCGTGTGCTTGGCAGGGGCAGTGGCTGAAGCCGGGAGCTTCACCCAGGTCTCCGTGTGCTTGGCAGGGGCAGCGGCTGAGCCGGGAGCTTCACCCAGGTCTCCCGTGTGCTTGGCAGGGGCTTGAGTAGGCTTGGCCATCTTCTGCTGTTTTCCCAGGCGTGTTTGTTAACAAGGAGGTGGAAACTGGACTGGAGAAGCGCGAAACTGAGCCTGGGTCCACATCTGTTAAACAAGAAAACATTTACAAGGCTTGTCTTACACAGTTAGGAAATTGGTTTTTTTGCCTTGGGTCTGCATGGCGTTTGCAAACAATCTCGAGGTTTTTATTAAATTTCATTTCTGTTTTGTCCCCTCCCCCACTACCCCCTTCAGTCTTCTCCAGAGCACCGACCAAGAAGTTGCTGGCAGAGTCCGAGCTGGATTGAAAAGCCTAATCCCCACACTGCAGAAAAACAAAAGCACCAGCAAAGGAGCAGAAATTCTGCTTGAAAAATTGACTGCCTAAGTGGGAAGGGTCAAGAACAAAATGGGACCCTTTTTTCCTATCCTGTGTTTTCCAAGCACCGAAGTGACAGGACCCAGCATGTTGGTAATTGGGTACTGTATATATGAGTTGTTTGTGTAAGAACTTGTTTATATAATCATTTCCATAAATGGTCTTTTTTTGTAACAAAATCTCTACTGTCTTGCATAAAGTGGAAGTGATAACAGGGCAGGTTTAGAGGTGTTGCAGAGTGAAGCAGCCCATGTGTGTATAGGGGGGACTGAATGAGTTGAGGGGGTTCACAGCTTCCCTGGAGGAGGTTGCATTGGAGAAACCGTTGTGCCAAATATGGGCGAAATGTGGAAAAGAAGAGCCACTTTGTGGGAGCAAAACAGAAGAAATAAGCGGCTTTGAACTGAACTTCAGGAAACCTTGATCCCCTGTAGCCAAGGCAGCTGCATTCATAGCCACCTGATGGGCTAGGTTCTGTGTTAGATCTGTCTTCAAAATCGCTCCAGTCACTTAGGCTCACAGAGGGAAATGCAGCAAGAGAATTAGGGGCTCACAGTGCGAAGGGCAGGCTGACTGAGGAAGTCTGCCTGTCTCTGGATCCGGGCCTCCAGTATGTAGATTTGAAGTTTAAAACTGGTTGGTTCTACAGCAGAGCTTAGAATGATGGGTCGGTCTTCGGGCCGCAGCGGCCATCCCTCTGCATAGCTGTTTTCAGTAGAGTGTTGGCCTTTGTTTGCGTAACGTGCTGTGACAGAAGAGCCACTCGAGGCTGTCACTGCTGATAGAGCCGCTGATAGAGCCGCCGGAGGAGTGCTGCGCCTCTCTTGTCTGGAGTCTGTGTTTTCAGGATTATTTCCACGCTGGAGCGGCCATGGCCCCACTGGCCACCTTGCTTCCTACCAGGAAGGGTGTTCCATAACCGTTCCCGAAGAACGAAAGTTTGCAGACCTGTCCCTCGCCGAGCCAGGCCCCAGGAGGTGGGCCAGGGCACCGGGGCCTCTCGGAGTGGACCGAGGAGATGAATGGGCAAAAGGCTTTGGTGTCATCTTGTATTGTGAGCGGTGTTCAAGAAGGGATCCACGCAGAGAGAAGAAACACACTTTCTACTACTTGGAAGCTATGACAATAACATGTACATGATTTGAAAAGTGCTTGGAGAAGCTTGTAAGAGCCGCAACAGCCCTTTGTCTGCCCTACTCCCCTGCCTCATCTCCAAGATGACGGTCCACATTGACTGACGGGTATTGATCCGTTGTTAAGCCTTTGCTTTTGACTTCCTTTGCTGAAGAAAGCAGACTGAGAACCTGGACCACTGCTGCTCGTTCCCTTCCCAGTAGAACTGCATTATTTTTGATGAATCATTGTCCAGGGTTTACGTTATTAGAGCTGCATAAATTGTTAAATATTGACTCAACTTAGTGAACTCATTTCCTCTACCACTTTATTATTATTTTTTTAATGAATCATTGGTTCATTTATTTTCCTTTACGTAGGTTTTTTTGTTCTCATTCTCAATGCTTCCCAAATCTTTTCTCAGAATTGCTTGAATTCCTCTCCTGGGCACCACTAGTGTGCCCTGCAGCCACTGGCATGTTTCTTCAGCTTGGCAAAGTTGCCCTGCTCTGTGGTGTCCACTCCTTTCCAAGTGGCTAGTGTACCCTAACGGACACAACTCAGTGTTTGCTAACCGGTCTTGCTGACTGCTAACAGACACACTGAGGTGACGTCACCCGACCTCCCTCACACACATTTCTCTTGCCTGTCTAATGTGGAGGAGCACTCGTGCTTTGGAGCCCATTCCTTAAGTCATTTAATGGAATTTGGAAGGAGCCTGGCCTTTGAACCTTGGAGACAAGCAGTATTCCTAAGTTTTCTTACAAACTGTTTCAAGAAAAAGGTTCTTTATTGCCTGCCAACTTTGCTATGTGCATAGGATGTCCAGAGCTGTTGGACTGTCTCATAGCTGTGAGAGAAAGCAACAAGCACGCAGAAGGTGACCGAGTGGAAGAAGGAAAGAATTTGGAACTTTTAGTAGTGCTGGCCTGCTGAGTAAGTCAACTGCCAGTTACACTTGCCCGGGACATTGGTTTTTATGACAGGATGGACCCATTAATGTCATTTTCAAGAGGATCTTAGTAAGTTGTAGCTAAAGGCATGCTGAGCTCCCTGTGAGCTGTGGGCAGCGGTTGCCACACTTTTCAGCGCCCCGCATCAGCTGCCGTTTCCGTTGGCTCCTGTGTATGCCCTGGCCTGCCCTCTGCGTGCCCCAAAGTGCCACCTCTTCATCATGTGGCGCCTGCAGCGCATCCTCCCCTGTGGTAATCCCGTTTCTCAGACCCATGCACAGAAAGTTCTTGGGAAATGAGCTGAAAAGCATGCTTATTTTAGTGCAATTCAAACTTTGATGCCTACACATACAAGTGGTCTTCAAACTGTGTGGAATGTGTATTACGGGGGGGGGAAAAATCCATTTTTTTTTAATCATCAAAATGACTGTCGAAGTGCAAGTTCCATGCCCTTTGAGGACCTTCATGTTTCTCTTAGAGAATTAGCATCCTTTTGTGAGTGTGGGCACAGCTTGTGAGTAGCTTCCAGGGAAAGAATGCATGCGAGTTGCCATTGTAAACGCCTTAAAAATCTGAGTGTCTTTATCCTACTCTTTTGCAGGATAAAGAGTGGGATTTATTGGGCTTAAAATTAACTTTGCCTCAAATTGAAAGGCATTGGTCAGTCTGCAGCTTGGGAAGTTGAGGTGAGAATCCAGTACCCTCCTTGGTGTCCTTTGCATGTGGTGTTTGGGGATGTGGAGAGGGGCACTTGGCTACACATTTAAAGCACTGAAAAAATATTCTCTAGTTTTCTCATGCTTCAGGATCCTGTGCATTGCTATATATTGTATATATTTATTTATTCTTTGTGCTGGGCACATTAATCATTTTAATTGGAAAAGTCCAACCCTGGCTCCATTTTTCCATTTATCTGTGGAATAGCAGATAAAGCCACCGGTCAATCTTTAGACTGCTGCATTTCTTATCTAACTCCCTGCTGTGCTACCTGGAGAAAGCACTGGAGGATGGCCCAAGTGCTTGGGCCCCTGCCTTCCACATGGAAACTCGGATGAAGCTCCTAGCTTTGGCTTGGCTGTTGTGTCCTGTTGTGTCCTCGATGGAAGATCTTTCTCTGTTTATGTATCTCTGTAAATTTAATAAATCATGAATGAAAAGATAGAAAAGCCAGACCCTGCCATTCTGGGCGACAAATGGTCTGTAAGTGTTGCCACGTGTGAAGGAAGGGTAAGCTTTTCTTTCTCCATGCAGTAGGCTCTTCCCTGGGTGGATGATCAGGAGTAGATCCTGCTGTTTCACCATGGTCCTCCAGGTGTCAGCATTGTAGACTTTTCACCTGGGCCTCTCATGGAGAAGTCCACCTCTAGCTGACCCAGGGTTGCTTTGGAGTAACTTTACCTGCTGCTGGTACAGTGCTTCCCCCAGATGTTCTCTTACGCCTTGGAACTGTAGTCTTGAGAAATAGCCAGTGTAAGACTACGGAAAACACTGTTAGCCTTTTGCAGGCTAGGCCAGTCTCCAGGCTCCCGCTGTCCCTCTCCTGGTCTCACCAGCCTTCCCCAGGGGCTGGCTCCCCTGGTTGGGGTTATTGATCTGTTCCTTGGCACGCAGCGTGGGTATCCAGCCTTGCCGGTTCTTTCTCCACTGCTTCCTGTCCAAGTATTTGCAGTTGCACACACTGCTGTACTCTTCTGTGTGCCTTCTCCTTGTGTGGTTGTAGTATTTTATTTCCTTAGTCTGCTCTTCCTGGAAGGAACAGAGATAAATTCAACAATGGACTGTTTCAAGACAAATCTTTGAATGGCGTAATGGAGAGCTTATTTCCCATGCAGGAGTCTGCTGGCTTGGTGAATGTCCTTAATTTGGAAATACATGTTATGGTTTCCAGTTTGCATCAACTCCATACCTTTCCTGGGGACCCTTTGTTTTATGTAAGGAGAGAAGCGCAGTCCTTCTGTAACTCCTGTGTGTTGAGCATCTGTAACATGTGGTGAGGACCTTCTGGAGGGAAGGGCTTCCTAGATGACCAGACAGAGAGGACTTAGTCCTTAAGTTTTTACTGAAATTTGGAAGAGGTTACATCTTTACCCTAAAGGGTAAGGCTTGCAAAGATTAGGACATGGGTGTTTGAAACAACGTGTAGGAACACAGAGCTTCAACACAGAAGCAGTTCCTGTAGAACTTGTTGTTAAACTATGTTGAAGTCAATAGTATAAAATCCTGCCCTGTGAGTTCTTTTCACCTGTGATGTTGGTTACCCCACAGATACGAATCATGTCCCCCACTCCCTTCCTAAACGTACAACCGTTACTGAAAAGTGTCCTCCCAGTTTTTATCCAGTGAAATTTTTTTTTTAAAGATTTATTTTTGTTGGAAAGTCAGATATGCTGAGAGGAGGAAAGACAGAGAGGAAGATTTTCCGTCTGATGGTTCACTCCCCAAGCGGCCACATTGGTTGGAGCTGAGCTGATCCAAAGCCAGGAGCCAGGAGCTTCTTCCTGTTCTCCCACATGGCTGCAGGGTCCCAAGGATTTGGGCCATCCTCGACTGCTTGCCCAGGCCACAAGCAGGAAGCTGGGTGGGAAATGGGGCGGCTGGGATTAGAACCGGTGCTGATATGGGATCTTGGCGCGTTCAGGACGAGGACTTTAGCCACTAGGCTAATGCTCCGGGCTCTCCAGATGAATTCTTGAGATATTCAGATGAATATCTCTAACCAGGAGGACCGTATATTCTGAGTTGCCTCTCTGTGAGTAGCAACTGAAAGGCTGTTTTGCACTCCAGAGAACGCTGTCAGACTCTGGTTGTTTCCATGTTGGGAACGTGTGTGTATCCAAAACACAGTGCCTTAGAGGGTAAGCTTCCATTTCCATAAAAGGAATTCAGTCTGAAATCTTCCACCAAAATGTTTTACACGGTGAAGGCCTTTGTCCTAGAAGTTAAGAAATGTGTTAGCATTCACGAGCCCCGCATCGGACTGCCTGGTTTGCGTCATTAATTTCAGCTCCTGATTTTGCCCGCTGCCCACATTGGGAACCCATGCTAAGTCCCTGACTCTCAGCCTCGGCTGGCAGTCCCAGGCCCAGCAGTCCAGCAGTGGCTGTTATTGGGAGAGCGGGATTAGTCAGTCTTCTCTCTGTCTCTCCTTTCCTCATCCCTTCCTCCCTCTCTCCCTGCTTCCCTATTGGATGTACTTTTTTTTAAAGTTCTAATCAGATTTCAGACATGAACTCATCTCTTGATGAAGTAGTTTTAAAAAAAAGGAATGTTTGGTCCCTACTTTCTTCTTCTTGGGGAGTTGATTATTTCCTGGGCAGAAATGATTAGCGCTTAGCTGTGCCTCATTTGTGGTGACTACGTGAATGAAGGGCTAGAAAGGCACTCGAAAGGTCATGGCGCTCATATGACTCTGTGCTCTTGATTATTATAATTAAGCAGAATGAATAGTTTACATATTTAAATGACTTCCAGATGCTGGAAAACAGACACTGTGTCAGGATTACACTTAGATTTCCTTATTTTTATTGGAAATGCAGATTTACAGAGAGGAGGGACAAGAGATGGATTTGTCAACTGGTTCACTGCCCAAATGCCCACAGTGGCCAGAGCTGAGCCAATCTGAAGCCAGGCGCTTCTTCCGGGACTCCCACGCGGATCCAGGGTCCCAAGGCTTTGGGCCGTCTTCCACACCTTTCCCAGGCCACAGGCAGGGAGCTGGAGGGGAAGTGGAGCAGCCAGGACATGAACTGGCATGTACATGGAACCCCAGTGCTTACAGAGGAAGGCTTAACCAATTTGGCTACTGTGCTGTGCCCGTAATTACATTTGAAACTCATTCTTTTGATACATCTATCTGTAAGGACCTAACCGGCTTCAGGTTCCTGCCTTTAGCAGGTAGGTGGTGTTCCTAAGAGATGTGGATCCCAAAGACCTGTGTAATAGTGGGAGAATGCTTTTCTTGCCAGAACAACTAATCTGCCCCATCTGTGTGCCTCCACGTTGAAGTCTGGTTAGAAGTATAGATGTGCTGGAATCCACTGTGCTGGCAATGGTATGTTGGTGGACAGAAGTCTGGCTGCCCCCCTGGAGGGGCTCTCCACCCCTACCCATGTTTCACTGGCCCGTGATTTTAGGGGCATGTGGTACTTGTCTACTGGATCACAGTACTCTTCCATGGACCACAGTGGTTAGCTAATCGATGGAGTGTTTGTAGTCCGTATGCAACAGCAAATTCAGAATGTGGCACGGTGTAGAAAACACAGCAATTTGAAGCACTGGGGCTTCTGTGAGAAATGGTTAAAGATGCTCTGCCTTGCCCTGGGCCTACAAGCTCCTTGCACT